GTTTTTTCAGTACACTGGTAGGGCCCATGAGGCCAGGAACCAATAATGCCGGCTATTGTAGTTTAAGAGGCAGGGCCAGAAGCTGAGACTCGACTCCTGCAAACACAACTCGATGTTATTTTAATAAGTTATTAGTAACAACCTAAACATGACACCATATGCACAGTTCTGTGTGTGTAATTATAATATGTAATTATACATGGCCACACGCACATATACGCACAGCTCTCACCTCATTGAAATTTAACTGAAATAACATCATACAGCCAGAGTAGAAACATTAGGTGCATTTCTTTCCACCTGTTGTCTATGTTCCCCATCAGTAAAATAGGTACCTGGGTGTTAGTGGACTGGTGTGGGTCGCATCCTGGGACACTGACCTAATTTGCCTGAAATGCTGAGCATAACAAGGGGCTTTCTATATAGTAGTATGTCATTGATGTCAGCTAGGCCTGTGTACCATTGTGAGGGAAAAGTTCAATAGATAGGAGTAGAGATATAGTAACGATAGTTTCATTGCCGGCTACTAGTTAAGGTAGGGTAAGTCACTCTCCCGTTTTTCCCACCTTTTCTCCCCCACCCCTAAAGTGATAGTTTGACTGCTGGCTGCTTGTTAAGGTAGGGTCAGTCTAGCTCCCGCTATCCCTTCCCCTCCCTCTTCCCCCCCCCCCCCTCGAAAGGTGACGTGTGGGGCTCTGGTCAAACAGTAAATCACTCGACTCACAGCTCCCAACACTACTTTAAGTACATGCCTGCCTTGTATTCTAGTGGATTTATTGGTTAAAAGCTTCACTTTTGACCAATAATAAACTTAGTCCTTTCAGTCTTGCTCTAGGTTGACTGTTGTAATAATCACTACGTCTTTTGAGTAATGTACACTGCCATGGAGAGTGATTATTTAAGCAGTGGGTAACCTGTCTATCTTTTCAGCTTGGATGACAGTGAGGCTCACCTGTCAATCAACGAGAAGAACAGATGGAGAAGGACTAACGTCCAGAGACTTCCCCATTTTGGATTTAATTACCTGTACACCTGTATGAAATTGCAGGACGTAACCCCACATCATTGCAGCGGGAAAGAACCTGCTTTCCTGTCATCGGGATACAATACTCAAGGCCCATCTACTGTGAAGAACTAGCCAGTGGTGGTCACCAACACCTGCGACCCCCCCCCCCACATCAGCAACGGCTACGATTTCAACAACAGTGTCACCAACACCTGCGACCCCCCCCCCCCACATCAGCAACGGCTACGATTTCAACAACAGTGTCACCAACACCTGCGATCCCCCCCCACATCAGCAACGGCTACGATTTCAACAACAGTGTCACCAACACCTGCGACCCCCCCCCCACATGAGCAACAGCTACGATTTCAACAAGCAGTGTCACCAACACCTGCGACCCCCCCCCCACATGAGCAACAGCTACGATTTCAACAACAGTGTCACCAACACCTGCGACCCCCCCCCCACATGAGCAACAGCTACGATTTCAACAACAGTGTCACCAACACCTGCGACCCCCCCCCCCACATGAGCAACAGCTACGATTTCAACAAGCAGTGTCACCAACACCTGCGACCCCCCCCCCACATGAGCAACAGCTACGATTTCAACAAGCAGTGTCACCAACACCTGCGACCCCCCCCCACATCACAACGGCTACGATTCAACAAGCAGTGTCACCAACACCTGCGACCCCCCCCACATGAGCAACAGCTACGATTTCAACAAGCAGTGTCACCAACACCTGCGACCCCCCCCCCCCCCACATGAGCAACAGCTACGATTTCAACAAGCAGTGTCACCAACACCTGCGACCCCCCCCCCCCCCACATGAGCAACAGCTACGATTTCAACAAGCAGTGTCACCAACACCAGACACCCAAGTTTTAAATTAGTGTTGAAATCAGTTATTTATATTTTTCATTTTTCATTTTCTTTAATGTAGGATTAATATTTCATATTTAAGTGTTTTAAGTTTTATATTTTCTACATAATAGTGTTTGTTATTATTTCTTTTTCTATTCACTAATTTTCCTGAGGAGGAGCCAGCCTGGGTAATACTGTCTGAAGTTGTTACAGGGCTGAGTAAGTCTTCACAACCATGTACGTGTACTTGTAGTAAATAAAGATTATTATTACTATTAAAACACAGTATTCTCAGTAGGGTGTCACATAGTGAGGAAAGGAAACAGAAGACAGGGAAAGAGTAGCACTGTTAATCAGTGGAACTTAAGGAGTTGAGAGAGATAACAGAATTGAATCCAATAACTTTAAATGCAATCATGATTGTGGGGGATCCAGTGTAGTAGTATCAATAATCCATAACCCAGGATCAAACAGCAGGAGACAAGGACAGTAGCAAGAGCCGCATTAAACGGACCGGGAACCACATGAATGACCAGACATATGGAAGGTTAAGATAATGGAGGTGAAGATGGGACACTTTATAAGCCAACATGTCACTGATATCACACGATTTAGAGGGGAGAAACTAGCAAGACCGAAACTAGTTTTCTTCTTAAAAACATTTGACATAGACGAAATATATTACGAGACATTGATGGGTGATAGTACCTATATAGCCTTGTGTGTTTGGCTTACAAGAACAACAACGACAAAAAGTTAATTTATGTTATGTCCTTGTATTGATAAAGCCAATGGATGGCAAAACGTCCACAAATAATTATATCCAGGTGTTGCGCATGTGTCTAATTTTTCTTCTTGCATCTGCTGCCTCTTTTCATCTATCAGCAGATAGATACCCGAGTGCTAATCGACTGTTGTGGGTCGCATTCTTGGGGTTGGGTGCATATTTTTAATAGAGGTGGGCTCTAAAATAAGCTGAGGTAGGATAACAATACTTAACCTGTAAATTGAACTATGAAAAGACTACAAATAATGTTGGGTATTTATCTTGCTTACAGTGCCACACTGGGTGTCAAGACTGGCGCCAGGCTACCCGCTCCTCCTGTCAGCAGACCTGTGTAAGTCTTACATTGTTTATGCATTATAACAAAAATTAAAAAGTATATATAGAGAGGATATGATAATAGGTATCCTTTTGCTATATCACAGAGCATCTTCAGCAGGAATGATGCCGGGTGCATTGATAATAATGCTGGTTTTGTTAAGAGTGGCTTTTACACCATATCATGGTGAATATAGTGCCATACAGCCAAGGTATTTCGATAATTGTGTAAGATTAGTATTGACAGTGCTGTTATATATTCGTCGGTAATAACCTATTACATGTTTAATACAGGTAATAGGTTATTACCGATGAATATATGTACGTGTATTGATGTTTCATTGACAAGTTACGTATGGTGTCCAGAAAATAAAAATATAACGTATTACATTAGAGCTTTAGTATGTATGTACGTACAATATTTTTATTCCCTGGTTAATATCAAGTTATATATTTCAGACATTGCATGGTTGGCAGAGTGAAGATACAATGTTGTGTACCATGGGTTGTGTATATGCTGCTCAGACATACTTACGTCAAGTTGAAGGTAATATACTTTATGGTTGGCAGAGTGAAGATACAATGTTGTGTACCATGGGTTGTGTATATGCTGCTCAGACATACTTACGTCAAGTTCAAGGTAATATACTTTATGGTTGGCAGAGTGAAGATACAATGTTGTGTACCATGGGTTGTGTATATGCTGCTCAGACATACTTACGTCAAGTTCAAGGTAATATACTTTATGGTTGGCAGAGTGAAGATACAATGTTGTGTACCATGGGTTGTGTATATGCTGCTCAGACATACTTACGTCAAGTTGAAGGTAATATACTTTATGGTTGGCAGAGTGAAGATACAATGTTGTGTACCATGGGTTGTGTATATGCTGCTCAGACAACTTACGTCTAAGTTAAGGTAATATACTTTATGGTTGGCAGAGTGAAGATACAATGTTGTGTACCATGGGTTGTGTATATGCTGCTCAGACATACTTACGTCAAGTTCAAGGTAAATACTTTATTGCAAGTGAAGAACCACATTTTGTACCAGGGTTTGATATGCTGCATCAGTTCATACTTAGTAAGTTAAGTAAAATTTGGTTGGCAAGTTAAGATACAATGATTGTGTACCATGGTTGTGTATTGCTAGCTCTAGATCATACAGCAAGTTCAAGGATAATAGCTTTATTCAATACAATTTCATTTCATTAAGGATTGAGTCGTGTTCACCTATATCTGAAGAGCTAAATCCTGGGGCAGTTATCATTTGTATTTATATTAGTCGAAGCCTAAGCCGTAGGATTTCATAACATTCAATAATCAGGATAAAGTTCTCTAAGGAAGGCAAGAGTGAGTTTTGAGCAAGAGCCTGGCCATATATTAGATATGTAATAGCTCTTACATTTAATAATCTAAATCAATCAAGTTTCATTCAAAGTTAAATGCAGGTTAGCAAATTTAGGATTTGTGTGGTTTACTGGTATAAGATACTAATTACAAGTGCATAAATACTACATGGCTAGGATTGGTAATTAGTATTAATTCAAGTAACTCTAAGTTATTACAGATTATAGCAAGTGGTGATAATGCTGTGAGACATTACATTAAGTTTGTAAATTTGCAGTGGAATGTTTGATTTAAGTAAATACATATCTAATGAGTATCTATCATAAACTTATCGTATAACTAGTGATTTATAGTTAGATTGTATGTGTTTATGATGGTGAGTGTGTGAGTGTAAGTGTGAACCACCAGGTGGTTTTTCATGTAGGTAGCTGACTGGGTGTATCAGGGAGATAAGATGTTTTCTAATGGTAGTTTTGAAGGTGATGAATATGTCTGCAGTTCTAGAGTTTTCAGGTAGGGTGTTCCAGATTTTAGGCCCTTTGACATACATTGAATTTTTGTAAAGGTTTAGTCTGACACGGGGAATGTCATAGAGATGTTTGTGTTTGGTGTTATGCCTGTGGGTCCTGTCACAACTATCAAGAAAGCATTTTAGGTCAGGGTTAATGTTGGAATTTAAGGTCCTGTAGATGTAGATTGCAGTGTAGTAAGTGTGTATGTTCTGAACAGGGAGTAAGTTTAGATCTATGAAGAGTGGGGGGGGGGGTTGCCTGGGATGGGATTGCGTGATTATTCTTACTGCGGCTTTTTGTTGGGTTATTATTGGCTTTACGTGTGTTGCTGCAGTTGATCCCCAAGCACAAATAGCATAGGTGAGGTATGGATGAGTCAATGGTATAGTGTGAGAAGGGCGGATTGTGGCACGTAGTATCGTATCTTGGAGAGGATCTCCATGCAAAAGTTACTGGATATGGTAAAGCATTTAATTGTTAATGATAACATATCTGAAATCCTTTGATTCTATCCACATTTTGCGTCGACAAGATGAAAAAATTAATTTTATTAATGAGACTGCAAAGCAATAATAACCAATGTTTTTAGTGGCAATAAGATAGTGAATATTTTTTGAGATTGTAACTCATGTTGCATTAATTAGCTATATGAAGAAACTGTAATGTATGTAAACTAATTATATATTTTTGTAATGTAACTTTGGTGTCACATCTGCTAGAAAAATGACAGGATGGATAATGAGAACCTTCAAAACTAGGGAGGCCAAGCCCATGATGACACTCTTCAGGTCACTTGTTCTATCTAGGCTGGAATATTGCTGCACACTAACAGCACCTTTCAAGGCAGGTGAAATTGCCGACCTAGAAAATGTACAGAGAACTTTCACGGCGCGCATAACGGAGATAAAACACCTCAATTATTGGGAGCGCTTGAGGTTCCTAAACCTGTATTCCCTGGAACGCAGGAGGGAGAGATACATGATTATATACACCTGGAAAATCCTAGAGGGACTAGTACCGAACTTGCACACGAAAATCACTCATTACGAAAGCAAAAGACTTGGCAGACGATGCACCATCCCCCCAATGAGAAGCAGGGGTGTCACTAGCACGTTAAGAGACCATACAATAAGTGTCAGGGGCCCGAGACTGTTCAACTGCCTCCCAGCACACATAAGGGGGATTACCAACAGACCCCTGGCAGTCTTCAAGCTGGCACTGGACAAGCACCTAAAGTCAGTTCCGGATCAGCCGGGGTGTGGCTCGTATGTTGGTTTGCGTGCAGCCAGCAGCAACAGCCTGGTTGATCAGGCTCTGATCCACCAGGAGGCCTGGTCTCAGACCGGGCCGCGGGGGCGTTGACCCCCGGAACTCTCTCCAGGTAAACTCCAGGTAAACAATGGAAATAAATCAATTTGTCTGACTTTTTTGGGTTATCCTAGGTTATTTTACACATATGTTACTGTGTATGATAATTGTACTTGTGTGTACCTGTGCCTAAATAAACTTACTGATAAAGACCCATTGCTGTGGGGAACAATAAATTAACTGTTTAGGCAACACTGCTAAAAATAAACTTTAGTGTCTCTAACACCCACAACAACAAAGATTTGAAGTATATATTATTCCTCAATATACCATAACTTCTTGAAGCGGTGATGCCATATACCATGACTTCTTGAAGTGGTGACACCATATACCATGACTTCTTGAAGTGGTGACACCATATACCATGACTTCTTGAAGTGGTGACACCATATACCATGACTTCTTGAAGTGGTGACACCATATACCATGACTTCTTGAAGTGGTGACACCATATACCATGACTTCTTTGAAGTGTGACACATATACCATGACTTCTTGAAGTGGTGACACCATATACCATGACTTCTTGAAGTGGTGACACCATATACCATGACTTCTTGAAGTGGTGACACCATATACCATGACTTCTTGAAGTGGTGACACCATATACCATGACTTCTTGAAGTGGTGATACCATATACCATGACTTCTTGAAGTGGTGATACCATATACCATGACTTCTTGAAGTGGTGACACCATATACCATGACTTCTTGAAGTGGTGACACCATATACCATGACTTCTTGAAGTGGTGACACCATATACCATGACTTCTTGAAGTGGTGACACCATATACCATGACTTCTTGAAGTGGTGATACCATATACCATGACTTCTTGAAGTGGTGATACCATATACCATGACATCTTGAAGTGGTGATACCATGTACAATGACATCTTGCAGTGGTGACACTATATACCATGACTTCTTGAAGTGGTGACACTATATACCATGACATCTTGCAGTGGTGACACCATATACCATGACTTCTCGAAGTGGTGAGAGACAATAGTAGGGGATTGTAATCTCACATAAGTTCTTATGCTGCGATATACAATGATATACTCTCAAATTATTATAAAAAATATCTAAATGGAGTGTATTTTGTCTAAATAAAATATAATTTGTACTGGTTATTATATTGTAAGGTTGCTTACATTATAATGACCAGTAAGGTCACTTACAATATAATAAAGCAACCTTGCTGGTCATTTTATTATATTATAAAGCGATCTTGTTGGTCACTTTATTCCCTTTGGGGATAGGGGGGATGTTGCCCTGATGCGTTTGAAGGGCTCTTGATCAAAGGAACTCATTTACCTTCCATTCCACAGGTTCTGTATGACCCTAATGGATTTAGCACCTCATGATTGTACTAAAATTTATTGTATGGTTTTTATCGGCAGAGATAATTCAGAAGCCCGCAGCACCCATGCTCATATTTAACAGTGTGAGTGGGTCAAGTGTGGGTCTGAGGTGGATCTCTGTAGCACAGGTACGTGATGTACACTACCTGGTCCAGTACCATCAGGACAAGGCACCAGGAGACTGGGTCTACTATAGACCAAATGAGCCACTCAACACAACAGAGGTTCAGGTCCAGGACCTAAACCCATACACAAAATATCAGGTATTGTTTTATGTGTACCTCTGTTGTTTTTATTTGATTTTTTAGGCCAACCTTGCAGTCTTGTTTTATAAAGCAATGATTCCTTTGCCAGATGAAGATAATAAAGGTAGGAAAATATTTATACAATAACTATACGAAAACCAGTCTGAACATCACAGAATTAATGTATTTCATTGATACTAAATAATAATGTATTTAGGCTAAGCTAAGATCGGCACCTCGATTATAATTTACAATTACTACTACTCAGCAGAACTCTGGCATCAGTTTGCAGTTTACAATAATATTTATAACCTGTCAGTAACAACACTGCAACTGGCTGAGGATTTGAACCCATGTTGTTTTGGCCCTGCCTTGTGATGAGCGAAAATCACATGATGCCTTAGCCCACAAGACCACACAGTCCAACAAGAAATGGTCCATGATCCTGTGGACCTGTCGGCTAAGGCGTCATGTGATTTTTGCTCACCACAAGGCAGGACCAAAACGACATGGGTTTGAATCCTTGTCCAGTTGCAGTGTTGTTATTGATTCAACACCACTTGTTCGTGTTCAAAATACAGTGTTACCTCGAGTTACAAACTTAATTTGTTCCAGAAAGCTGTTTCAGTGCCAATACCGAACGAATATGTTCCCATAAGGAATAATGTAAATTAGATTAGTCCATTTCAGACCCCAAAAATACACTAACAAAAGTACTTACAAAAATACACTTACACAATTGTTCAAGTTGGGAGCTGTTCAAAACTTGAGGTACCACTGTAATTTATAACCTGTGTACACCATACAATAAGTATTTATTATACATATTTTTTTTTTGGGCGATACTAGTGAAAATAGAATATTTATTTTTGTTGTACAGCACATTTGAACCAATCAGTCCTTAGTATCAATTCACATCATGCACTTGGTCGAATGGAAACAAAGATGCATGTCTATTGATGGTGAAGTAAGGTTAAGGTATGTTATGTTATTTTAGGCTGTGTTCGGTGGCTTTTGTTAGGTTACATTTTTTTTTATCTTTTGCACAACTTAATATTGTACAATTCACACTATAATTATTGGCTGAAATCCACAAAGGAGGAGTAATTTTGTCCAAAATTAATATACTACATACTATATTTCATTAATACTGAGCAATAATAACTATGATATATTTAGGCTAATCTAAGATAGGCAACTAATGTCAACAAACATATTTTATCTCTGTAAAGGAGTACAGTATATTATACAGTTAGGGTGATTTACTTATATAGAATACTTTATAGAACGCTCCTTAATATTGAATACATTTCAGGCAACCTTAGAACTGAATTATGATTGTTAGGTAAGACACATATGCAACAGTTAGGTATCTTTATTTCGAAACGTTTCGCCTACACAGTAGGCTTCTTCAGTCGAGTACAGAAAAGTTGATAGAAGCAGAAGAGACTGAAGACGATGTAATCAGTCCATCACCCTTAAAGTTTTGAGGTGGTCAGTCCCTCAGTCTGGAGAAGAGCATTGTTCCATTGTATGAAACAATATGGAGATGAAGTGACAGGATGGAACCTTATATAGCGCCAAGAGGTGAGACGTAGGTCACTAGAAGAGGTAAGAACTCAGATGTTGGGAGGTCAGGTCCCTCTCAAATCCAGCCGTTCTCACTAGAAGAGGTTGTCGAAGTTGATTGTAGGTAAACCATACCCCCGGCCGGGATTGAACCCGCGGTCATAGAGTCTCAAAACTCCAGCCCGTCGCGCTAGCCACTAGACCAGCTAGCCACAATAAGATTCATCCAACTAGGTGTATTTCTACACCTAGTTGGATGAATCTTATTGTGGCTAGCTGGTCTAGTGGCTAGCGCGACGGGCTGGAGTTTTGAGACTCTATGACCGCGGGTTCAATCCCGGCCGGGGGTATGGTTTATTTTCAATCATGTCATTACGATTTCTTGAGTCATGTTGACGGCAGTGAAGGGACTTGAGCTAGAGTTCGTCACGGCCACGCTAGCTGGAGATTCGTCTGTAAAAACTTGCATTTGTGGTCACAGAGGTGCCTGTGCTAACCTTCCTATGGTGTAGAAATACACCTAGTTGGATGAATCTTATTGTGGCTAGCTGGTCTAGTGGCTAGCGCGACGGGCTGGAGTTTTGAGACTCTATGACCGCAGGTTCAATCCCGGCCGGGGGTATGGTTTATTTGCAATCGTGTCATTACGATTTCTTGAGTCGAGTCTTGATTGTAGGTGTGTACCAAGATACCCTTGCGTTGCAGTGTCTGACAGATTGAACATTAAAATGGTATAAAATACCGACAGGTTGTTAGGTAAGACACATATGCAACAGTTAGGTATCTAACAACCTGTCGGTATTTTATACCATTTAATGTTCAATCTGTCAGACACTGCAACGCAAGGGTATCTTGGTACACACCTACAATCAACTTCAACAACCTCTACTAGTGAGAACGGCTGGATTTGAGAGGGACCTGACCTCCCAACATCTGAGTTCTTACCTCTTCTAGTGACCTACGTCTCACCTCTTGGCGCTATATAAGGTTCCATCCTGTCACTTCATCTCCATATTGTTTCATACAATGGAACAATGCTCTTCTCCAGACTGAGGGACTGACCACCTCAAAACTTTAAGGGTGATGGACTGATTACATCGTCTTCAGTCTCTTCTGCTTCTATCAACTTTTCTGTACTCGACTGAAGAAGCCTACTGTGTAGGCGAAACGTTTCGAAATAAAGATACCTAACTGTTGCATATGTGTCTTACCTAACAACCTGTCGGTATTTTATACCATTTTAATGTTGAATTATGTTTACAAGTATATGAGAATAAGAATACATAGCTTTTATTATGTTGGAGGTATTTAGTAATTCAGTAAAAAAAAATTAAAATCGTGAAGCTAGGTACATGGGTTGAAGGAAACATAGACAAGAACAGGAACAATACAGGATGAAAGAATTGTTCAGCTTAGTGTTTATTAACTAATATTTGTATAGCTGATATACAGTGCAGTATTCATTTAGTATTATTTTATGATAATAATAATAATAATAATAATAATGTCTTTATTTCTACAAGTACATGTACAAGGGGTACAGGCCTAACTGATATTAATGACATGCTACTATATAGAAAGCCGCTTGTTATGCTGAGCATTTCGGGCAAATCAGATCAATTTTGTCCCAGGATGCAACCCAGGTACCCATTTTGTACTGATGGGTGAACAGGGACAGCAGGTGTCTTATGGAAACACGTCCCCAATGTTTTCCAGCTGTACCAGAGATTCAAACTCTGGACCTCAGCGTGTGAGCTGAGTGCACTAGCAGTCAAGATGCGGGACACCTTTTATTGTTAATGCACTAATTATAGCTGATATATTCATATAAACGTTATTCATTCAACACCTCAATGGAAATAATTTTATTGGGTTATCCTAGGTTAATTTTCACAAAATTACTTTGTAAAACAATTCTAAAATTAAGTATCTTCCTATATATTGAATATGAATAAAACTTATATAGGATTAAACTACTGCAAATTACATGCAATAAGCATTTATCTGTCTTCTTCAACTCCAGTTTCGTATTGCCTGGCTGGTTCTCCCACATCATGCACCCATCATGTCAGAAACAGGTTCCTGGATCAGCACTCTGGCTTCAGGGCCGCCACGATCACCACCAAGAGTAAGCAACAACAATTTTTCATTGTATCGTTATAATTTTTTCTATTTTCACTATTGCATGTAAAAAGATAAATACTGTACATGGGACCTGACGAGCTGTTGGAGTGTGAGCAGGGTAATACATGTATTTAGTGAAGGATTCAGGGAACCTGGTGATTTTAATATATAGCTGGACTTGAGTACTGGAAATCGGAAGTACAATGCCTGCACTGTAAAGGTTTAGGATATTGGCAGTTTGGAGGGATTTTTTTTTTTTCCAACAAGTCAGCCGTCTCCCACTGAGGCAGGGTGACCCAAAAAGAAAGAAAATCCCCAAAAAGAAAATACTTCCATTATCATTTAACACTTTCACCTCACCCATACATAATCACTGTCATATTCACTAGCCAGATTGCAGAAATGGTTGTCGAAATATGTTACATATCGTTATATATGCTTCTAAACTGTTACATCTGGGTGCCTCTGCAAAGACAGTGTTTATGTATGAGTGAGGTGAAAGTATTGAATAATGATGAAAGTATTTTCTTTTTAGGCATTTTCTTTCTTTTTGGGTCACCCTGCCTCGGTGGGAGACATCCAACTTATTAAAAAAACAAAATTAAAATAGAAGTAGCTTGTCACACATACTCATACTCCATTCTAAGAAAAATCTTACGTATGTAATTTACATATCCCAGTGTTGGATTATTTGTCTAATTATGCATACTGTGTACCAGTCTCTTATATTTTTCCTGTTTATTTCTCTTCACCTGCTGTAAATACATCTGGGGTACTCTAGCTCTTTTCTTGACTCTGTTACATATTAGCTGTTTATAGCTACAGGAGTAGAACTACGTATGCTCTTGGTGTCCTGTTATTAACCATTTTTTATTGCATAATTTTTTTTTTTACTTTCTAGTGGTGGTTGTAGCACTACCTTCTCTTTTGAATTACATATTCCATTAGTCAGCTGCTCTTGTGAAGAAAATTGTTCTAATATCCTTTCAGCTCCATGTTTATCTATACCTTATATATGATTTGTAGGAAGCAGGGGAGCTAGTGACCCCTTCTCCTGTATAAATTACTGAATGTAAAAAGAAAAACTTTAGTTTTTTTTTTTTTTTTTTTGGGGGGGGGGTCACCCTGCCTCAGTGGCAGACGGCCAGTGCTTTGAAAAATAAAACAGTACATATATAATGTCACCGTGGTTGTTTAATATATTTATAGATGGGGTTTTAAGAGAAGTAAATGCAAGGGTCTTGGCAAGAGGCGTGGAGTTAAAAGATAAAGAATCACACATAAAGTGGGAGTTGTCACAGTTGCTCTTTGCTGATGACACTGTGCTCTTGGGAGATTCTGAAGAGAAGTTGCAGAGGTTGGTGGATGAATTTGGTAGAGTATGCAAAAGAAGAAAATTAAAAGTGAATACAGGAAAGAGTAAGGTTATGAGGATAACAAAAAGGTTAGGTGATGAAAGATTGGATATCAGATTGGAGGGAGAGAGTATGGAGGAGGTGAATGTATTCAGATATTTGGGAGTGGACGTGTCAGCGGATGGGATATGAAAGATGAGGTGAATCATAGAATTGATGAGGGGAAAAGGGTGAGCGTGTGCACTTAGGAGTCTGTGGAGACAAAGAACTTTGTCCTTGGAGGCAAAGAGGGAATGTATGAGAGTATAGTTTTACCAACGCTCTTATATGGGTGTGAAGCATGGGTGATTAATGTTGCAGCTAGGAGAAGGCTGGAGGCAGTGGAGATGTCATGTCTGAGGGCAGTGTGTGGTGTGAATATAATGCAGAGAATTCGTAGTTTGGAAGTTAGGAGGAGGTGCGGGATTACCAAAACTGTTGTCCAGAGGGCTGAGGAAGGGTTGTTGAGGTGGTTCGGACATGTAGAGAGAATGGAGCGAAACGGAACAACTTCAAGAGTGTATCAGTCTGTAGTGGAAGGAAGGCGGGGTAGGGGTTGGCCTAGGAAAGGTTGGAGGGAGGGGGTAAAGGAGGTTTTGTGTGCAAGGGGCTTGGACTTCCAGCAGGCATGCGCGAGCGTATTTGATAGGAGTGAATGGAGATAAATGTTTTTTAATACTTGACGTGCTGTTGGAGTGTGAGTAAAGTAACATTTATGAAGGGATTCAGGGAAACCGGCAGGCCGGACCTGAGTCCTGGAGATGGGAAGTACAGTGCCTGCACTCTGAAGGAGGGGTGTTAATGTTGCAGTTTAAAAACTGTAGTGTAAAGCACCCTTGTGGCAAGACAGTGATGGAGTGAATGATGGTGAAAGTTTTTCTTTTTCGGGCCACCCTGCCTTGGTGGGAATCGGCCAGTGTGTTAATAATAAAAATATGATTTGCACATATATGCTGAAGACTCACAAGTTTATTCTTTAGTTTTAAAGTTTTTATAGCAAAATTTTTGTATTCATAGCTTCCATTGTCTCACATTTCAATAATATTTATCTAAAGGAGCTAAAAGCAGTTCCACTTGATTGGTCTCGTGTGGAAGTGACGTGGGAGCCGCCTTTTTTTCCTGGTGGAGATCTTATCTCCTACACATTATATTCCAAAGATACTCAAGAAAAACATGAGATGAGGGCCAATATTGATGCCAACAGTGAGAGAAGGTAAGTCATAATTACACTAATATTTGTAATTTAAGTACTCTACCTTAATAGAACTTAAATTTTTTTAATAAGTACAGTATAGTTTTTCATGTTGTCTGCTATAGAACTACAGAAAAAAATAATAAATGAATTTATATTTTACTTCATTACACAGCACTCCAAATGATTGGATAGTTTTACATAAATGGTATACAATACTGACACGTTGATGAATAGTATCTTTATTAATGAGACTCTTTGCCAGCCAGTGGCTTTTTCAGTCCAGTACAGAGAATAGATTCTTCTCCACTTATTCCTCTGTCTTCAGTATTTATTCTCCGTATTGGACAGGTGTTGCACGTGTCTTGTAAATGGCAGTCTTGTACAGTCCAGGATATTATTAACCCCTTGACTGTCGCAACCCCAAATCCTGGTGTTGCAAAAATTAAAAAAAAAAAAAAAAACTATTTTTTCTTGTGAAATGATAGAGAATCTTTTCCTGATGGTAATGACACCAAAAGAACAAAATTTGATGGAAAACTGACGTAATTATACTCTTGCAAAGTTAGCGACCTCGGCAATATTGATGAATCGGCGATTTCGCCCACTTTGAGCCCTATTTTCGGTTAATTCTGTTGTTCCAGTCGACCAAACTCATAGCTATTTCTTTAGAACTCCATTTTTTCTATCGATTGAGTACAAGAAACTGCCGATTTCAACTACCCAATAACATGGTCAGAAATTTGCAATTTGGCCAATTTCACGAAAATTAAAAATGACAGTTTCAAAATAGGGTCCAGAATGAACAATGCAGACATTCCTGGCTCTAAAATAAAAATTTTTTTGTTCATCAGTCACGTCTCCAGACCCCTCTGATATTACTCTTCCTTTCTATTTTGATTTTTTTATTCAAACAAAAAATAAAAGATTAACTATTATGCAGACTACTGCAATATTGTAATAATTGTATGAATAATGTCAAGCCATTCATGACTGCATATTAGAATGAACAATGAACAGCAAAATACTTTCAAGATATTAAAAATAAAGATATGGGAGTATCGAATACTTGTCAGGGTCTGATAGCATCTGTTCCTGCACACTTTCTGTATTCGACTGAAGCCTACTGTGTAGGTGAAACGTTTCGGAATAAAGTTGCGTAACTGTTGCCCGTGTCTTACCTACCAACCATCTGTGACCTGCTGACTGAATATTGATACTGTAAATACAGAAGACCATCAATTATTCAGCAATCACTTATTCAACATTTATACTCCTGGTACTGAATAATCAGTAATCCACTTTACTGCAAGAAGTATGGGATACAAATTTTAATTTATATTTTTATTCTTTTTTTCTATTTGTATACATTTTATTACTGTACAGTGGACCCCCGCATACCGATTTTAATCCATGCAAGAGGGCTCATTGGTATGCGAAATAATTGGTATGCGAATGAATTTTCCCCATAAGAAATAATGGAAATCAAATTAATCCGTGCAAGACACCCAAAAGTATGAAAAAAAAATTTTTACCACGTGAAATATACATTTTCCTACACACAAAGAGAAGGATACATGCACAATAGTAGAGTAGTACATGCACAATATATATTGTGCATGTACTAGTCTACTAAATGAAGAATAAATGACACTTACCTTTATTGAAGATGCAGCAATGACTGATGAGACACTGTGTCCTGGGAGTGCCTTTTCCTCCTGAGTACTGTAGGTCCTGTTTGGTATTTTCTTCCAGAACAGGCCTTATCACACTGTGTATGTCACTATGATTCTTAAATCTCTCAAACCTTTGCTGGCTTTAAATTCACCAATATGAGCACTAGTTCCAGGCATTTTTCCCTGTTCACCTGGGTGTTAGTCGACTGGTGTGGGTTGCATCCTGGGAGACAAGACTAAGGACCCCAATGGAAATAAGTTAGACAGTCTTCGATGACACTGACTTTTTTGGGTTATCCTGGGTGACAAATCCTCTGGGGTTAATTGTTTCTTGGTATATTCTCAATAAGCCACACCAACAACAGTGCTACAGCAGCAGCAGACGATGCTACAGCAGCAGCAGACGATGCTACAGCAGCAGCAGCAGCAGACGATGCTACAGCAGCAGCAGCAGCAGACGCAGCTGACAGTGCTACAGCAGCAGCAGACGATGCTACAGCAGCAGCAGACGATGCTACAGCAGCAGCTGACAGTGCAGCAGCAGCAGCTGTACCACCAATAGTAGCGATGGTTGATTGGGGTTTATTATACAACCTGGCCAGCTCGGAGACATGCACTCCACTTTCATACTTATCAATGATCTTTTTCTTCATCTCTATAGTAATTCTCACCCTTATTGCTGTAGGGTTGGCACTAGAAGCTTTCTTGGGGCCCATGGTCACTTATTTTCCAGATAAAATCACCAAAAACACTGTAATAATACGAAATGTTACGATTGTATGCTTGGATGCTACCGCGGAGGCTGGCTGGTAAACAATGCCACCGGCGGAACATGTGAGGCTGGCTAAGGAGCACATTGGATGCGTCTCGGACGAACAGCGGTGAGCAGGCTTTTAAGCGGTATGCGAGGCAAAATTTTAGCGATAAAATGTATCGGTATGCGGATTAAACGTTATGTGATGCCAACGGTATGCGGGGGTCCACTGTATTTCAAAATCATTTCTTTCTTTCTTTCTTTTCAGGTACATCCTGTCTGAATTATCCGCAAACACAACATACCTTCTCAACTTAACCTCCACCAACCATCGAGGTGAAGGTCCTGCCATAGTTGTAAAAGTTACTACTTATCCCAGTGCTCCAGGTAATTCCTAATAATCTTGGATGCTACATGTTTTATTTGTGTTGCTGTTCAATAAAATTATGTACAATGATTTTCTCTACTGACTGTGACTTCCTTCTTATGTCTGTGTGCTCACCTTTGTTGCTTATCTGCCTTTCCTTCTGCTGTTTTCCCTCACTTTCTGTGCATCACTCGCTGACTATAAATTTAAATGATAAAAATAAATGAGAAGTGTGTTCCAGTATACAGTATAGTCTATTTATTTGCAAAGCCCATACAATATGATGCAGATCACTGAAGGCAGTACAGTATATGACTTAATGATTAGTAGCACACTAACATCAAGTAAATAAGATTATCATTAAATTTTAATATTATACATTATTTGATGCTGCAGCTGTTGATGATGGTCAAGGCTATTTACTTCTAACATCAGGTCCAAGCCTCTTAAAACTAGGCCTTGAAATAATGGAGACCCCAACCCACTTGTATAACTCTTCTGGACAACATAATATTACAGGTATGTCTGACTTAAAATTTCCATCTGGCATAAGTAAAATTAATTTTATTAATATATTAAAGGACATTTTTGTTGTGTACAGTAGGTTTCCAGTATCATTTTAGTAATGTCTGGTAATTAAGAAATTCTATCTTTTTTCACCCTGCCTCGGTGGGAGACGGCCGACTTGTTAAAAAAAAAAAAATCTTTTTTCAGGAATTGCAGTACATATTCCTTTGAATATAGTATAAATTTTGCCCTGGGGGATCTATAACCAGTCTACTGTCACTTATAAACATCGAATACTTCTGACACAACACCCACCATGGTTATCCACTAAGTCTCTCGTTGCTGGTTTAGGTTTTTATCTCACACTTGTTCACATTGAATCCCCAAAAGGTCAGATGTGGCAATTTTGGCGTTGTGATCTAATGGGGAAGAATCCCATTTTAATATATGGAGAACTTAAATATGAAGCAAAACATCCCAGGTTGATCCAAAAAAATGGGTAACAAAAGGCCCAAATTTTTTTTTTGACTAATAAAATATTTTTCAATACATACAACACATACGTAACTGACAATGGATTTTGGAAGACCATTTTTTCTTTTGTAAAATTTTGTATGTCCTTTGTAGAATGTAAAATTCTTTAAATATTTTTTTTTCGCAATACTTTTGGTGGTCTCTGAGGACCAATAAAGGATTACCCCCTTTAAATTTGAATGATAATTTTTTGGAGGTGGGACAACCTATGATTTTCTCGGCATCGATTTAGGGGATTGTTCTGGATCCTCCAATTTCCAGGTTCTTGAGCAATCGAAAAAAAAAAATAAAATTTGGGGCAGTGTCATAAGGGGGTGAGTTTGACCAAAATGCTCAAAATTTTAATTCATGTCTTGTGGACGTGTTTTACATTTTGATCTACACTAACAGTTTTTAATATTTCTGATGACAATTCAGGGTACCTTGAATACGAAAGTCAAAACCGAACAGTTATTAATGTACATTTAGGTAAGTGCTTTTGTAAGTGAAATTTTGGGGGTCTGAAGGGGATTAATTTAATTTACATTATTCCTTAGGGAAAAAATTTTGTTGGGTTGGGCACTTGAACAGCGATCTGGAACAATTAAGTTCAACTCTGGTACCGCTGTTTTTTATGTCCTGCACTTGGCTATATTTTTTTTAAAATATTTCATTAAGATTTTTTGCAAAATATTTTCAAAATGTTGGCCACCCTCCACCAAGGCAGGGTGACCTGAAAAATGAAAAAAATAATTTTTTCCCTTTCTTACATTTAGAAATTTTGCAAGAAAAGGGGGTTAGGGCCCCCCTTGCCCCCATCATTTTAGGTCTTTTACAACAGCATTCTTACAGAGGAAGAATTCTTCCCTTTTCTCCAGGGATAATTCAATTGCTTTGTTTCTATTAAAAATTAGGGCCTTATAAATTTTGGGAAAATTTTTCAGGTTCAGTGACAATTTAAGGGCCAACAACGCAAGCTTTCTTAAGAAATTCCTCGTAGTGCCCCTTTATAGCCGTTTCTTCGGGGGAAATTGGAAATGAGGTTTTAACTGAAGAGCTGAATAAGGAAATTTTTTATCATAATGGTATGGTAAAAATTAGACATACTTCAAACTTGTGTTCATCAGTAGATTGTAAACGGACCCCTTTTTTATCTCGAAAAAAGCCTAACCAAAGGTTGCTAGTTTTCTGGACCAGATTTTTCATTTAAACAATTTGAAAAATTGTACAATCTTTTACTGTGCTAAATCTTTCCTGAAAGCCTTTACCTCTAAGGATGTACAATATTCAGTTCTTTCTTTGGTTTAGTTTTAATAAACCACATTGTTTTTACGTTCCCTTTTTGTGTAAAGGATTAACATTGGTTGTTGGGTGGTTTTTCTGGTTCCACACAACAGTTCCTTTTCCATTAAACCCTTTTAGTAACCTCCAGGCATGTTTACCCGAGGTCAGCCACTCTCAGCTGGGATTCAGGGGGTTTTACCCTGCCCCAGGGGTATGTGCCTTTGCTAGCTTATGTGATCTTCAGTAGGACTTTGCTAGCTTCATTATGCCCCCCCATCCCAAAATTTTTGGGACAAAATCAAATATACAGAGACATATAAGGGGTCATGTTGCTATATTTAAAATATTATCCTTAAAAAAATTCTTGTTAATAGATCGGGTTTTGAAATCTACTCCCTCAACGAAAGATATGTCATCATTCTCTCATGTTTTGGAAGCCCATTGAGGGGGAAATCCAAAGAGACTACTCTAACCCCATTGTCTACAAAATTTTACCCACCTGTTTCTGACTTTCAAAAAAAGCACAGTATGCCAGTTGACTCTGAGGATTAAGACTTTTACAAAATGGGGAATCGTTACATTAAAGGTGGGTGGTTTTGGGTAGTCCCCGGGGCCCCAGGTTGACTTGTAAATTTGTTTTCAAATCTTTATAATTCAGTGCTACAGTAGTATTAATAAAATAAAAAATTAATTTGATGTGACCATTTGTTTAAACCAAAAACTTTATACATATTCGTATACAGTGATTTTAACATATTTTTTCATTCCAAAGTATGTTCAGGTGCCATACTGACCGAATTTTTTCCCCAAAAGGGAATATTGTGAAGTGATTAGTCCATTTCAGACCCCCAAACATCCCGACAAAACATTTAATAAACACTTACTAAATTGGCCCCAATTGGAGGTGATCGTTAAGGGGGGGGTCCACTGTATAATTTTGTTTTAACCTTTTTCCCTGATACTCCCCAGCTGCAGGGGAAAGGGAAATTTACAGGTTGTATTTACGAATAAATAATTTGTTGTTTTTAATACATTGTCATTTATTATCAGGGTCCGGGCAGGCGAAGTGGAAATAGAATGCACATCCAAAAAGGGAAAAAAAATTTTATTTACCGTAAGAAATCTCCGACCCCTTTGTACGGCCTTTAATCTCGACCGGGAACATTCTATTTGTCAGGTATTGAAATAATACATTCAGCTGTAGGTACATTTGTATAATATTTGTAGTAGATGTTGTAGGTTTTTAGACAGCAAACCCCCAGGGAAATACACCGTCCTCCAGATGACGTGAAACAAAACCTGTAACTGTTTTGCATGATGTAGGATTTTGGGTTTTTTTTTTCTGTCTCATAAAACCTAGATAACAGGGGTATCTTGCTACTCCTACTTACATTTGGTCCACTTAACAACACAACCCCTCATATTTTATATATATTATACAACATCTAGTTTTTTTTTCCTTTTTCTAAATAGCTCTTGTTCTTTTTTATTTTTTCTATTGTCCCTGGGAAATGGAAAAGAAACTTTTCCTCCGTAAGCCATGCTTTTCGTATGAGGCACAAAAATGCCGGGGGCAATGGGCTAGAACCCCCTTTTCCCCGTTTCATTTACAAAAAAGAAAGAAGAAAAACTTTATAAAATTGGGATCTTAAAAGTGCGTGGAAGTAGTGCGGATGACAAGAAACAGTGATTGCTGATGTTATGAATAAAAGAAGTTGGGTGTCCTGGCTCAAGCGAAACAAAGCGAAGGGGGTAGGAGAATTTTTATGGGGGAAATAAATGGGATTAAAAACTGGATATCTGAGGAGTTAGAGCAAAAGGGAAGGGGGGCAGTAATGTTAAATGATCTTATGGAAGGAGAAAAGAAATTTTGAATTTAAATTTAAGAATTATTGGATTAAAGTAAAGGTTGGATGCGAGAAGTGGGTATAATAAGCGTGTATGCACCTGGAGAAAAAAGGAATGCGAGGAGGATTTTTGGGGGAAATTTAATGAATGTATAGGAGCCTTTTAACCCCGGAGAGAGTAATTTTGGAGGGGCCTGAATGCAAAGTGGGGGAAACTTTTAGGGGGTGTGGTAGGTAAGTTTGGGTTCCAGGTGTAAATGATAAAGGGGGCCCTTTATTGAACTTTAAAAAAAGGGGTTTAGTTTTAGGAATAATTTTTTTAAGAAAAAAAAGGATAAATAAGAATACACGATTGATGTAGGGCGAAAAAAACAAAATTTGTTGGATTTTATTGGTAGATAAAAGACTGTTGGGGTTAACTTCAGGTGTACTTTATAGAGGGGCCACAGATATATCAGATCATTTTAGTTGTAGCACACGAGAGTAAAAAAGGGAGAGGATACAAGGGGAATAGAAGCATCCGGAAGAAGGTGAAAGGGTTTTTAAATAAAAAAGGAGGCAGTTAGGGTAAAATATAAACAGCTATTGGAGGATAGATGGGGTAATGAAGCATAGGGAAGGGTCGAAGAGGATGGGGGGTTAGTGTTCAGCAGAAGTTTTTTTTGGGTTTCGGGGAAAATGGGTGCGGGGGGGAAAGGAGCGATTGGTGGGAAAGATGAGAAAAGAGTAGAAGGGAAAAAAGTTAGCATATGAAAGTTTTACAAAGTAAAGTGATGCAAGGAGGAAGGTATAGGAGAAAAAGAGAGAGGTTAAAGAGTGGTAAGCAATGTAAAAAGAGAGAAAAAGAGAGATGGGTGAGATTTTTATCAAAAAATTTTTTTGAAAAAGAAAAAGTTTTGGAGTGGATTAACAAGTTAAGAAAGCCTAGAGAACAAAGGATTTGTCATTAAAAATAGGAGAGGAGAGTTTTTAAATGGAGATAGAGGGATTGGGAAGAGGAGGAATATTTTTAGAATTTAAATGTTGATGAAGATAGGGGAAACTGTGGTTCGTGTATAGGGCAAGGGGAATAAATCTGTAGGAGTGAGGGGGGAGCCATTGGAGTGTGGTGAAGTTCGTGAGGCAGTAGGTAAAAAAAAAGGGGGTAAGGGAGCCGGATGATGGGATAAAGATAAAATGTTAAAAGCAGTGGGGGTATATTTTTTGGGGTGGGTTGTGAATTATTTTAAAAAATGTATGGAAGGGGTAAGGTACCTGGGATTGGCAGAGAGCATGCATAGTTCCTTTTTAAAAGGCAAAGGGGATAAAAGAGTGCAAAAAATTTTAGGGGGATAAGTCTGTTGAGTTACCCGGTAAAGTGTATGGTATTAAATTTAAAGAATTAAGGGGTAAGACGGAGAATGGAAAGCAGATGAACAAGGAGCTTTTGGAAAGGTAGGGGGGGTGTACCAGGTTGTTTACGTGAAACAAATAAGTGAACAGTTTTAGATAAGGCTAAAGAGGCTTTGTGGCATTTTTGATTTTGGAAAAAAGGGTATGACAGGGTGGATAGGGGGGGCAATGTGGCAGATGTTGCAAGTTATGGTGTAGGAGGG